ATCTAATCTTAGTAACATTAAAAAAAATACTCTAACACTAAAATACTGTAACACTAAAAAAATACTTACAGTTTCCTAATAGCATAGAATCTAAACAACGACGGTTTGTACAAATTACATCACCATCACTGCAGATGCAATCATTACATCATCTGTAAACGTTTCACCGCTTACTAAAATATAAAAAAACATTTTTACAAGAATTAAATAACTTACTTGGGTTGCCACAACTAAACATGATAAGACACAATAGTGACCATTAGTGGCTATTAGTAGCATTAGTGAATTTAAAATCAATTTAAAACCAAGTCATATTTGTTTATATATTTGTTGTGATTATTTGATTAAAATCTACATCAAATTTTTTATGATTTTTATGTAACAATTTCATAAAATAATTTTATGATACATATACCTAAACATTGCAACAGATTTATGCAATAAATCCAACTTCATATAGGAAAAACTATAAAGATTGGGCCATAAATTTATAAAAGCAACCAAAAATCTTATAGGTACTCCTAATTAATTAACCAGTAAATTTCCAACAGAGTCCCATAATGTAGATCATTATAGCTACTACATAATATGTTGCAGGTATTCACTCACCTGCTATACCTATTCTGCTATACTGATTTACTTCTTGTGAACCAGTATAGCAGAACCAGAATATTTTTTGTTGATTTGCTTCTTGAATCAACAAAAAATGTGATATTATTTTTTTAAATGACTCTTGCAATAAAGAAACTGGATACCAAAGATGCTTCTAATATGAAAACAATAATGGCTATCACCACACTTCTGAATACTTAAGGATTAAATAACAACTTTAAATCTTCTTGCTTCTGGTGCAATGATTAAAGCACCTGAAAATTCATCGCTATAACTGTAACTCTACTAAGTTACGTTGGAGCAATTCAAACTATTAAACAAAAACAACATTGACAGGGCCATCTGCATTTAAAACTAAAAAAAAAATCCTACGCTAAAGTAATTAATAAAAACAAAAACAAAGCAAACCTATCCATGTTTATTAAAACAATAAATTGCCAGATGATTACTAATTATTAGCTTAAACAAAACAAAAACAAAAAAAAAACAAAAAAAAAAATGCAAGAACAAATGAATGCTGGTTCAGAGAAAAATTTAATTTTTCTGATCTTCTAATTAAATGAAACACCCACAATGCAACACCCAAATAACTACTAGAAGATTGTTCAAACGGTTTTCAACGGGATTTTTTGCCAAGAGGTCTTACATAGGAAAGAAGTAATAAAAAAGATAAAATTGAAGCTTTTGATGTTTAAATAAGAGATTAGTAATATAATTAGGTAAAGTCACTAATTAGCTAATGTCTAAAAGTAGCTAAGAAAAACCTCTACTAGATCATTTCCTCTTTAAAGCAAATTAAACTTTGTATAATACACATCAGTAAAATTTAGATATTAAGTCATTTGCTTAAACTACACACATCAGAAAAAATTTAGATATAAAGCAATATACTGTTTTTTAACTACACTTTGATGTTTCCTTTAATTGATTATATAATTGATAAAAGTCTAATATTCACTTTAATATTTTATTATAAATTTTTTACAAAAGACACAAAAACATTGTTACAATAATAAATTTTTTAAAACCTTCGGATATTACTTACACCATGTTCTGTTATTTACTCTACATGATCTTTTTAAGTTACATCCAAACTCCTTACAGTTTGCCAAAATAAGCAAGTTTTGATGTTTTAGACAATCCAGCAAGACATTCACATACTTGATAGCATTCTTTATCATCATTTTCAACAGTTAGCTAATTAAAATTAAGCTATGTATAATTCAAAGAATATTTATAAACAGAAAAAGTACTAAAATACATTTTAATTAACTTTTCTCTTTTAAAAATACCTTAGCTAAATGGCCAACAGGAATAAGAAGTTTGCTTTCATCGCCAACTGCACAACCTGAGTAACAAAAGCTAATAGAAGATTATTGTATGTTCCCATTATAAATGTTTTATTTAAAAATGCACTGTTGGAACAAATGAATAAATATAATATATTTTATTTGATAAATAAAAATAATATATATACAAATATTATAAACACCTTGAACACAGGAATAGAGTTTGCAAGGAATATTGGATTGATGATCATTACAATGTTGATTGATGAGACACACCTCGCCTAAGCCACAAGGATTTCCATGACAGGGCATCTCAACTAAAATTTAAATAAGCAGATAAAATGATAAAATATGACAAAAAATCTAAACTTAACATTTTATAAATTCGTTTATAAGAATTTTAAACATAAAATCCCCACAAAAAATCCTCACCAGGATCACGTGCAGAAATAGATA